ACTAAACTTGTTTTCCTTAGCAATAGGGGTATCACCTAGTTTATCAACATCACAAATCTCTTAAGAACCTTATCGATATTGTTCTTTTGTGATAATTCAAAAATATTTCAAGAACGATCCTGATATATCTGTATCCTTAATAAAAAAAAGAGTGGTCACCAAGATGTTTCATTTCAATCCTCGACAGGAATTTATTTGTTTCGTGCAATGAGCCCATATCATTGCAGAGAGGTAGTATATCATCGACATACAATATCAGGAAAAAAAATACTTACTCCTACTGTACTTGTGATATACATAGTCATCAACTGCATTCATCTCAAAACTAAACAAAAATAGTTATTTGATGAAATTTGTGATACCATTGATGGGAAACCTACTTAAGTTCATATATAGATTTCTTTATTTGTAAACCTTCTAACATAGTTGAAGATTCAAATGTGTCACAAGGGTCATATTAGTCCTAAAAGAGCATTTCATAGAAATCGGAGAGAAAGTTGCTTTAAAGTCAATACCTTCATTCTGAGTAAAGTTATTTATAATAAGACGAGCCTATATCTCTCCATATTACTCTTTGAATCCCTTTTGATTTTAAATATCAATATACAACCAATAGGCTTAACACTTTTAGCCAATAGGACGAGTTTCCAAGCGTCATTGTCTTTTATGTATTTTATCTCTTTATTCATAGCATCAATCCACTCTTGAGAATTATTCCTTTGAATGGTTTGATGAAAGTTTATTGATTAGATCCTCTTCCATCAATCCTATGCTATCCTCATGTTTTAGAGAAAAACTATAAAATCATCTGGAATTGTCTTTTTCATTACTCCATTTGTTCTTGAGGTTGTTGAGTTTGTTTTTCTGGAGCATTCTCTTGATTGTGTATATGGAGTTTTGTAATATTGTCTTAATCCAAAATTTCTTCTTGAACAAGATATAGAGCAATAATTTGTCCCTCGTTCTGATCATTGTCAATTGTAATAGAAGAAATATATACATATTCTTCTTACAAGAAAAAAAATCCTTGACCTTGTAACCTTATCTCCCTCCGCAAACTCTCCATCCTCAAAGAATTGGACATCTCCCATTTCAAAAATTGATCTGATAGTGGGATCTTAAAATTTGTAATCTCTTGACCTTAGTAAATATACAATAAAATAGCAACTGATGGTTCTGGAGTCCAGTTTCCTTTTATTTGGCCTCTAAGGCCTTGCCTTAGCTAGACAATCCCAACTGTACAAGTACTTCAAATTAAGCTTCTTGCTTGTTCAAAACTCATAAGGGATTTTGACAAATACTTTACTTGGAACTTTATTGAAAATTTAACCTACAATCTTCAGTGCTTTTTTCTTAAGAGATTTAGGTGTACTGTGGGATAATTCCACATTCCTTCAGGAATTGAGCAAAAGGCCCTAGACATTGTTCTCCTGATCAATTATATCTGCAATAGCATTCACCACCATAGTCAAATTTGATGTATTTTATTCTTTTGTTGAGTTGACTTTCAACCTCAATCTTGTAAGCCTTGAACGTGTCCAATAATTGGGATTTCTTATGAATGAGATACAAGTAGCTAAAATGAGAAAAATAGTCTACGAATGTGATAAATGACTGCTGATCATTCCAAGATGTCGAAGGAAATGGCCCACAAATATCCGTATGAATTAATTCTAAGACGTCTGAAGTTTTATTGATACCTAATCTCCTTTTGTTTTTTGTTCCCCCTTAATACAATTAATACAAACATTTAAGTTTGCAAAATCAAGGGCATCAATAATCCCTTCTAACACAAGTTTTTCAATTCTCTTTCGAGAAATATGACATAATTGCTTATGACATAATGAAGCAAAATTTTCATTGGTTAATTTATGTTTAATACATCGTGGATTTACATATAATGTTTCATTATAAGAGAAAATCGAATCAAGCAAGTATAGATTATCATACAGAGATAAAGAAATGGTACGCACAAGATTTGTATCAAGAAAAAGACTAAATTGATTATTTTGAAATGAATAAGAATAACCGAATTTGTCCAATACAAAATAGAAACCAAATTTTTTCTAAAATACAATATCATAAAAGCCTCTTTCATATACAAATAAAAATTAGTCTCTAATAATAATCTAAAAGTCCTTATAGCCTCAATTTCAATGGATTTGTCGTCGCCTACATAGATGAATCTTTTAGCATCATTTGACTTTCGGTTGTTCAGGTAACCTATATAAGTAGTGACACCGAAATCAATCCACCAAGCATATCTAGCACTGAAACTAAATTAACCTCAGAACAAACCAAAATAAAAATTGTTCGTTTCTTTACACGTGAAACGTGGTATTCGGTAAATCCCTCTTTACCTGTCCCATACTTCCACAAAAATAACAGCCATATAATTATCCTTTTTAGGCTTTTGCTGTTTCTTTTGAGGTATATTGGATGTAGCTTCCTTATTCTTTCTTTTCTTGAACTTGTCTTTAGAGTTACTAGCCAAATGAGTACTTTCTGTTCTGTCTTGCTTTAGCCTTTCTTCTTCTTGCATATAGTATGAAATGAGCTCATTAAGAGTTAACTTTTCCTTTTGATAGTTACAACTAACCTTAAGCTAATTGAATTGTGCAAGAAGAAAAATCAAATCCTAATACATAAGCGAATCATCAAACAGCTCAAACTTTAGTGCTTTTAGTTTTGAAGTAATATGAGACATCCTCATGATGTACTCCCAAATGTTTCCTCTACCCTTATACTTTAGTGAAACTACGACAAAGGTATACTAGTTTCGGCCTTATCGTTTTTCGCAAAACATTTTTCAATTTCGTCAAGAAATTCTTTAACAATAGTTACCTTATCGGACACAGCGCCTCTGAACGATTCTGGAATACCGAGCTTTATGATCATAAGACTTACGCGGTTTGAACGAACCCGCTTATCAAAGTCCCATTTTTTATGAGGGGAACTTTTATCCATAAGTGCAGTGGATTGTTCAGTCCTTCATGTAATATCTAGATCCATATCAACAAGAATAATATGAACACTCTCTTTCAATCCTTAAAATTTGGTTCCATAAGCATAGGCATTGAATTGATAAGTTAGCAGATATTGTAGAAGTAGATAGATTAACCGAATAGGGAACTTAAACCTATATAACATGTTCACATGAAAATCTATATTGGACAATCAATAATTTCAAATAATAGTGGACCCATCATAAGAGACTCACAACATTAATATTTAATTTTTGGATAGAAATATCAACTTATAAGTGGTACTCCTGATCTAGTAGTCAAATATTGACAATAAATTTGATCAAACCTCAAGTCTATTTTTGAACCGACTCCATGTTAATGAAAAATATGACAATTTATCACATATTTATTATCATAGGTGTGCATGTAATTTGGCTAAATATTTACCTTTCTTTGGGCCGGTGAATATCCGCATGAACTATATATACACAACCATCTTACTATTCGAAATAAATTAATTTAGGCAAGAGATGTTATTTTGGTAACATGTTTCAACTGATCTATTTTAGAAAATTAGTAATCTAAAATAAACTTTAAGTACCAAAATTTGAAATTGATTGTCCTATTATATTTTATTTTCTCTTTTGTGGCCAAAAGAAAGAGAAAAAAATTGGACGGAAGTCCAGCGCTGCAGCGCTCCTTAAGCTGGGTACTAACCGCGCCCAGGAACTGCCTTTATCAAGTCGCGGTGTTGCAATGCCTATTCAAAAAAATTACTAAAATCCAAAATTTTTGTCTTTTAGGGCTTGAAATTCATTTCCCATATTTTAGAAAATTAAACTATGAATTCCAACCCTAAAATTTTTCTTTATTATCAATAGTTTAACACGGAGTTAACTCTAATGCCTCTTGTTCAATACTTATTAAACTTAAACTTTATAAACTTTACATAATTGTCAAGATCTTCATATCAAATCACCAAGAAAATTAATTAATGGAAACATATCTTGATCCATTGATTTGTGTCTTGATTATTGAATCTTAAAACTTGAATTGTAATCTCTAATCTTGACTTCTAGGACTTTAAACTTGATTTCTTGTTCTTCAATTTGATTGCTTCCATTATTCTTCTTGAATTCCTCTATGTTGATTTTAGATCTCCCTCTTCAATATGCTCTCTCTTAATTATTCTTATATTGATGGGAGGTATAAAGAATAAGAAGTTGCATATGAGTTGGGACCATAAATTTATTTATATTTTTATATGCATTTCTGTTCATCAAGAAAACACAACCCTAATGGATTTGGCATCTACACATATAATACATTCCACACTTTATTTAGGTGTCAAAAGTTCAATTACTTAATTTTTTATTAGATCACTTTAATTTTAAGTTTAACTTTAAGATAGCATCTACATACAATTAATTACGTATGTAGGCCCAAGTGCCAAATTAATATTTTTGCCAACAAAAAGTTGTTTGTTACCAGTTAATGTCATTTAGTTTCGATGTAGAATAAATGGTTTATAATAGATTCTTTCTTCATTCAGACAGCTAAGGAAAATGCCGGCCACATAACAATTTGTATTTAATATATTTAATATTTTATGAATGTAATTATTTGATTGTCCAGTGAATCATATGTTATAATTTATTGTATATAATGTTGATACAGAAAACAATAATGTTTCTCTTGTTTTTGTTTCATTTTGGAATATAAAATAAAATAGTGGCATGGATCAGGCTGACCGGTATAACTGTTCTTATGTAGTGACATTATTAGGCTTGTTTTGTTTCATTATTTCATTAATTTAGTACATTATTTTTACTTATATTTTATCTCTTCTAAGTTTTGGTCATGACAGTGACCCATGTCCAAATTACGGCATGATTCATGAAATATACCAGATAAAATTTGAACTTTAATTTAAATTTCCTATTATTTCACATTAAATCCAAGAATCCTGTCCAAAATGAGAGGAAAAAATGTTTGACGATTTTATATAAACAAGAAATACTGCATGACAGTATACAACAATGAAAAAACAAAACAAGAACCGAGTACGTACTTGGAAAGGTTTCATTGATAGATCACGATCTATATAAATGAATGATACTAAAGGGAAAAATATCATATCCAACTTCTTTGAAACACACACTACAGAGAGACATATGGGGAGCTTGCAGCAACAGCAACACCATGTCAGTGGTGGATATAACAGCCACCAGGTTGTAGCTGTGCCGGAGACACCACCAACCGGAGGACACGATCACCAGATTCACGAACACAAGGTTCAAGTTTTGCTTTTCTTATTTTCAGCTTCATCATCTATATTTTTTTTTCCTAACCCTTTTTGTGTTTTCATTCAGAAGCCTGGATGGAGAAATTTTTTGTCGTATGTTGGCCCGGGTTTCTTGGTCTCATTGGCATATCTTGATCCCGGAAATTGTAAGACTCCGTGCATCTATAATGCATGCTTGATATATTATTGTATTCGTTTGAGAATATCGTTATGTTTTGTTGGACAATAGTATTGATGCATATTATATGATGCCATTGCAGTGGAAACTGATTTGCAGGCTGGGGCAAACCATGGATATGAAGTACTTAAATTGAAATCTTCTTCTTCTACTTTTTCTCTCTGTAACCTTAATTAGTACTAATATTTGATTATTTGAAATACTCAGCTACTATGGGTGATTCTTATCGGATTAATCTTTGCTCTTGTGATACAATCTCTTGCAGCTAATCTTGGTGTAAGCACTGGTAATGACGTCAAAAACTTGGAACTAAACATTACCTGAGTTAAATGCTTAATTGTAATTTGTTATAGTCATTTTTAAAGTTGTTTTAGTAGTTTATTTTCTTGATTAATTTGCAGGTAAACACCTTTCAGAACTCTGCAAGGCTGAGTACCCTCGATATGTTCGATACTGCCTATGGATACTAGCTGAGATTGCCGTCATTGCAGCTGACATTCCTGAAGGTACTATTCACCTTCAAAATTTTCAATCAAAATGAATATTTTTCATATAATCTGCCATTTTTTCCCATAGTCTAAGCCTGTGCCAGAACACTTACACACACACATATATATATACGACGATGTTCTCTTGTAGTGTAAGACGCTACTTGAATTTTTTTCCGATCTAGCACTCGACTGACTTCAGAATTTTAACAGTGATTGGGACAGCATTTGCGCTTAACATATTGTTCCACATCCCGGTTTGGGTTGGAGTTCTTTGTACTGGTTTGAGTACTCTCCTACTACTTGGCCTCCAGAGATATGGGGTAAGTGTTTTGTACTTAATATCGAAAACTATTTTTCGATTATTTAAAATATTTTTCAGTTAAATTGACATGGGAAATTGAATTCAACAGGTTAGAAAACTTGAATTGTTGATAGCAATATTGGTGTTCATCATGGCTGCATGTTTTTTTGGTGAATTGAGTTATGTGAAGCCTCCAGCAAAGGATGTAATGAAAGGAATGTTCATTCCTAAGCTCAGTGGCAATGGTGCAACTGGTGATGCCATTGCACTATTGGGCGCTCTCGTCATGCCGTACCGATCAAAACTTTTTTGATATATTATTCAATTTAAATTTATGTTAATTTTATCAAATTTCACTAAGAATAATCTTTCTGATTATTCAACAGGCATAATCTTTTCTTGCATTCAGCTCTGGTACTTTCTCGGAAAATACCAAATTCAGTTCGAGGCATCAATGTAAGTTGATTGTCGTATTTTGATATTCTGAAGTATGTGTATCGAGCTTCGCCTATTTTTATTTATTTATTTATTTCTTTTAAGAATGGGATAAATCTGGTTGGTTGACATCCCAAGAAGCTGGTTGAATACATAAATTATCTAATTTATCTGACAAGATTTTTCTCTGTCTTCTTTTCATTATTGAAGTCAAAAGTCAGAACTCTTAAGTCACCATGAATATGAAATTGGCCCACAAATAATCACAACGAATATGAAAATGATGGAATTTTATTAAAAACTACCAAGCCATGGGAGAAAATAAAAATGAAAAGAAAGAAGCCAGCACTATTTATTTTTTTAGTTGTCCAATCGTCCACGGAATTAGAACAAAATTTTAAGTGGATTAAAAGGGTTCGCTAGTATCACTATGCCCTTCCCTCGCATCTCCGTAGTTGCTTGAGAGAGCAGTAAACGAAGGGGAGGGAAGGGCGGGGAAAAGGTGAAGAATAAGTTGAATTAAGGAAGGGAAAGATCGTTTTAATCTGAGTAAATTAGACATTGGATACATGAAGAATACATGTTAAATAAAAAACTTGATCGATGAGTTATTTTTATTACTCTAACCTCGAAAGTTGGTCCATCTCAAAAATATTTCATATGTTAATACATGTTCATTGATTTTTTTTCCCTCTTGTTTTCAGGATGCATGTCGATTTTTCTTGATTGAGAGTGGATTTGCATTGTTTGTAGCATTCTTGATTAATGTTGCTGTTATTTCTGTATCTGGCACGGTTTGTCTGGCCAAGGATTTGTCCAAAGATAATACAGAACGTTGCAATGATCTAACACTCAACTCTGCTTCATTCCTGCTCAAGGTCCAATGACTATTAGATATATATCTCTCGACAGGATAAATTTTATCACATATCTCTCTTTATTAATCTTCTAGTACCGTATTTAGACGCCACATATTCTATAAACTTTGCAGAATGTTCTGGGAAGATCGAGTTCCACTGTTTATGCCATTGCGTTACTAGCCTCAGGCCAAAGCTCTACCATTACTGGCACATATGCTGGACAGTATATTATGCAGGTACCACTTTATTCAAAATATTAAGTCGTTAGTGAGTGTATAAAACACGGCCTGTCACGTGCGATTTGATATTACAACAAACAAGAGTTTGAATTTTTATTTATTTTTTTTTTTTTCCAAATACTGTTTAGTGCTATGTGAACATTTGTACCCAATATATAGACTAATTTGATTGTTGCAATTGAATAGGGTTTCTTGGATATGAAGATGAAGACATGGATTCGAAACTTCATGACTAGGTGCATAGCCATCACACCTAGTCTAATAGTCTCGATTATTGGTGGATCATCGGGAGCAGGTCGACTGATCATCATCGCATCGGTTTGTGCTTATTTCTTATAATCTCTAATAGTTTTTAGATTTTATACATTTCAGTTATAATCAGATTATTTTGAATGGAATTTTCTGCAGATGATACTTTCTTTTGAACTTCCATTTGCTCTCATCCCTCTTCTTAAATTCAGCAGCAGTTCCACCAAAATGGGACCACACAAGAACTCAATATATGTAAGCTCAATTTTCTCCCATTTCTCTCTAGTTCTTGTAACACATTCTATCGTAAAATCAATTTTTTTTTTTTTTTTTTTTTGGGTATAATTGATTAAGTTAAATTTCTGTTTGCAGATAGTGGTGTTCTCATGGATATTGGGGCTGGGAATCATAGGCATCAACATATACTATTTGAGTACAGCCTTTGTGGACTGGTTAATCCATAACAATCTACCGAAAGTTGGGAATGTCTTTATTGGAATCATAGTTTTTCCATTGATGGCTGTATATATATTGTCAGTAATCTATCTTATGTTTCGTAAAGACACGGTTGTGACGTTCATTGAGCCCACAAACTTCGATCCAATTGCTCAAACGCGTATGGAAAAGGGGGACAACAACGTAGATGGTGAAAACGAGTTGCAACCTGTTCCGTACAGAGAGGATCTTGCTGATATTCCATTGCCTCTATAGAGTTGTGGGAATAGAGAGTTTTCATGATCAATCTCCCTTTTCTCCATTCTGTTAAAGTTCAAACGAAAGTTGTTTACTATCTATATAGCTAGAGCTAATAAATGATCGACATACAAATATTTCGTTTCAGTCATTTTGTATGATAGTGCAGGCTTAAAAGCGGATTTTTTTAGTTGATTTTCGATTAGATATGCTGCTAAAAAAGTAGCTGAAGGATCACTTTTAAGCACTGTCGATATGTATACTTACAGTTTCCACATTTCCAATTTGCTCCCTCGATTAGGGTTATAATTATTAGTCTGATGTTCATGCAATGATTGATAAGTGTGTATTGGTACATATATAATAAATTGAGTTTTAAGTTGTTTAATCTTAACTTGATACAATAATAATAAATTATAAAAAGTGTTTCTTCTTTTTAAACTATATACAACTAAGTTAACCATTATTGTTTTAAGTGGCTTAATTACTAATAATTATAGATTTATAAATTAAGAAGAAGATCCATGTAAAGGAACTTATTAACTGAAAAGTATGTCCAATCTGCTGTAGTTATGACTTTACCCCTTTACAATTCTATATCCAATCTTTGTTTCTTAGCATTACTGTCTTCTACCTTCTGTATAATGGCATCCATGGTTCCTAATGCAGATTCCATCCAAAATTTCCTTCCCTACGTGAAGTTGCACGAAATGCATGTTGAGTCCTTGAGGTGTCACTTTTAAAAGAAGTGAGTGAAATTCACATGCATTTGTTTTTAGCAATTCTCCCCAAAAACACGAGGACACAACTCAACAAGACTGTTGGAAGTGTCAATGTACTCTTGATGTTAGACTATTCTTGAATGATGGGAAATGGACAAAGAATTTTTGAATGGTCAATGTTAGAGGAGCTTCCAAGCATTTTTCTAAGACAAAATGTTTTGGTATGTACGAAGTTTAACATTTTTGTTCCCTTAATCTCTTTTAGTCTCTAGCTATAGTCGAGAACGTCAAACCTACCTCCAGAGATTCCCCGTTTAGATCAAAACTTACCATCTTAATGATAGTTAAAAGAGTTTATTCCACAAATCTCTCAAACTGACAAACACTTCTCGGAATTAGGGATTTAGACAGTTCTATAAATAAAAGATGCAAGTGAAAGAAATGGTATCCAAACTTAATCGAAACAGACATATTACTTTCTGTTGGACTCAAATTTAAACTTCCCTGTTATCTTGGAGATTTGATTTCCCTCGTGATAATATACAAGAGTTTTATATATCCAAAAACTCAACCAATTTAAAAAGAGAGAGAAGCCGGCTGCCTTCTTCTTCTTAGTGTGAGAACTTTTCTGCAAAAAGAAAAAAAGAGACTTCCTTCTCTGTGAAAACCGAAGTCGACCTTTGTGGTGTGCCTTTTCTTCTTCGTGAATGAAAAAGTCTCCCAATTGAAGTTACCTTTGTGGTGTTGGGTCGAAGATTTCTGAGCCGGATTTAAAAAGGGGGATTTCGTTTCATTTTCTTCCATTAAGTTTCAGTTTCTGCATTTCATTTAGTTCACTGCTTCATTTTGGTTTCTTGAATTCCATTACATTTATTTGATTTAATCCTTCATTAACCTTTGTTGTGTGGTTGCAGGTTGGATTAAAAACAACAAAAGCAAAAGGTAAACAATAATTAGGTAAAATCTATGTGATTTTTAAATTTGTTTTCACGTTAATTATTGGTATTTGATTTATTGCTTTACTTGCTGACAAACGCCTCTCAGAACTGTGCTTGGCTGAGCACCCAAATATATTTGTTAATGCCAATGAATATTAGCAGCCGATCATATTTCTGAAGCACTCGACTAAAGAATTTGGAATGAAATTCTTTCTTTTTAATTAATAGTGATAGTGGAAAATGACATTTGCACTTATTCATGGAGAGCTTGATCCTGGCTCAGGATGAACACTCGCGACATGCTTAACACATGCAATTGGGAGGAGAAGTGGCATTTCAAGTGGCAGACGGCGGAGTAAGTATGCCAATAGACCAGAAACCACGGCCAACAAATGACAATAAATTTCTCCATCCAAGTTTCTGAATACAAAGACAGAGAAAGGTTCTCGTGATCATATAATGTTTCTTCTCCGGGATAGAACCACCATTTGGTGTCGACTCCACCATGGATACTACGTGGTGGTGGTTATTTCCACCACACCTTTGGTGTTTCTATTGCTGCAAGCCCCTGATATATCTTTCTATAATGTGGGTGTTTCAATTATGTTGGATGCCATTTCTTTCGTTTGTTTCTTTTATGTGTGTATATATATACATACATACATATATATATATATATTGCATAATCTCATAATGTAGCATGTCTGACTATGCAATGGTTAGTTTTAAATTTGTGACGATATTTATGAGTTAGAGAATTGTGAGTGTTTAGATTTATGTTTCGGTTTTCTATTTTTTTGCAGTCATTTCAACACAGTATCCCAATACAATATTATTATCTGATATAAATAAAAGATTAAGATATGAATCATGTAAGCCATAGAAGAGAAAAAGGGATGAACTAATTCTGTATAGTGCAATAAACCTTGTTGATTTCATTTAATTATAATCATTGTAGCAACAATTGTCATCCACATTGAGCTTCAATCAACAAATCTTTATGAATTCCCGGACAAGGGTCGCCTCCAAACTTTTGATATGACTGAGGGATGGTGCACCTTCTCTTTCCTACACAAGCCTGTCGAAGACATAATGAAAAAACAGAATATGTAAATCGACATTGAAACACGATGAACTGCATCACAGAATGGTAATTAATGAATTGGAGACAAATTAATTTAAATGGCATGTCTTGTAAATGGACTTATAAAAAAGTAGACTCTGCCCACTCCTAATATTAATGAATGTTACAAGGAAGTTTTACCTTCTCCACAACATCAGTGGAATTCGATGAGTGACAGCTTCCAACAGCATAACCTTCACAGTTGCCGGAAGGGCTTCCAAAACTTGCAAATAAAATTTTGGAGATGCGTCTTTTAGGGGGACAACTGAGCTGAACTTTAGGTCGTCTTCCATAATGCATTTTCTCCTTATTCTGGCTTATTGTTTGTCTTTTCCATGAAATCATGGGAGGTGGATTAGAATCCGACACGTGTCCACATACTTTTGTAATGGAAACTGTGCCTACTGATATGCCAAGAGGATCGCCAGATTCTTCTTCAAACAGGACTAACAGGTTGTTAGTAGGTTTGAGGAAAGATCTTGGTATATTGTACCTGAAATTATAAGATGGAAGTGAAACTTGACAAAAAGAAGAAGGGGTCAGGAGTACATATGTAACATGTTATTTTTGTAACAACGTACCATATCTGTGAAGGAGAGCCATCTGGTGTATGATATGAGATCCAATACCGGCCAATACTTTGGCCATTAATCCATGCTTCACCTTTTCCCATGGAGCCAAGATTTATAGCGACAGGATCAGTGCCCACGGGGGAATCAAAATTGGTCTGATGAGAGGAAATTAAGTAAAAAATTGCGAAACTGGTTATCGCAGCATCATACTTCCATTATAATTTTCAAACGAGATATGATATTAACAAATACTTTATAACTATGTCAATGGGTGTTCAAGAGACAAGTTTTCTCTGTGCTAAGTAAACATGTTTACCTTGTACCATGTTAACGGTTGGTACGAGTGCTCATGGGTTGTCCATTGGACATCACTTGATCCTTTCTCTGTGTAAATTTGTAGTCTCTCCCCCAGCATTCCAATCTTTATAACATTAGATATATAAAACTCAGTTTTAACTTTTAATATTGACAAGTAGATGGATTTTTTGTTATATAACAATGAAAAAGGATTTAAGCATGTCTCTCGGAAATTAAATACCTGATATCCCCAAGAATACTTGGTCAAATCGTGAAGTTCGTTATTATCTCGAATGGTGACAGCTTGCAATCCAGCAGCTCTACGCTCAAGAAAAGCCCCCGAATCCTACCATCGAAATATGAAGTCTGAGAAGTAACTCTGTAGAGCTAATCTAAAGTAGACTAAAAAACAAATTCATCATAAAATAATTTGCTTGACAAGCCCAAATTCCAAAAAAAATTCAGACTTAAGTCGAAGAGGTTTTTGGAACTTTGTCCAGAGATAAAAAAATTTGTACTGGAAATGGAAAAATTAAGGTAACATATTACCGGCAGTCCAACCATTGCGCTCAGCAATGAGATCTCGTTCACGCCATTATTTAAAGAGATGTTGGTTTCTAGGGTGAAACCTGGATTTTTTTTAGAACCATGTCCAGAACCTAGAAAGGGAAGTAAAAATGCAAAAAATAGTAATTATCTTTGATTGTCATAAGGCAATGAACACCATCAATACACATATAATTTCTATGATAGCCTCTTTTGTTACTGCAATCAGCTGTATACATAGCATTTGTATCGTTTGATAACTTTGTACATTATTTCACGAACGGATAATCATAAAAATTCAAGTTCAACGAAGATTTTAAAGCCTGACACTTACCTAAAAGTACTCCATTGACAAATGCACGTAAAACATGTCCCAGTGAGTTCAACCTCAGTACAGAATTTGAGCCTTCGGATTGCTGAAAACTGTAAGTAGGCATCATGCTATTAGTATACGGAAAAATTAAATGTACTGTTCAAAAGTACAGTTTTGAACTTACCTGGCAGTGTACCATAGATAATCGGATACATCTTTAGTCGTACTCATTTGTTCTAACAATACATCTGACCTAATCGAAGTATCTTCAAATATGGGAATAACTTCTCTGTGTTCCTCCCACTTATCTGCAGAGTAAAACTTCATAGTCGGTTGCCTAGTTCTTGTATTAACTTGAGTGTTTACCTGTTGCACATTAGGATGGTAAATTTTAGTTGGTTAAGCTCTGCTTGCTAAAAAGCTTGGCAAACTTCATTTTAAACCGCACATTTCATTGGATTCATAATTTTTATTCATTTTTCACTTCATGGGACCCTCCAGCTTTTATCAAATTCTATTAACTTTTAGCAACATCAAACATCACCTAACATCTTCAATGGAAAACGTAGAGAAAAAAATTCGAAGAATTCTAGTTAGGCTAGAACTGTATAAGAATTTTTAGCTCAAGGATTTGTCGCATTAATACTTGCCTTAGCAGTGTTAAACGCTACGGTTTTGCAGTCAGGCAAGATGCTAATGGATTTTGGAGGCAGATCATATGTTGAATTTTGAAATTTGACCAAGGCCTTTTGGCCATTGGCGTTCACAAGAAAGGCTGCACATCCTCCTGAATCTTCATGATAGACA